GGACTTGGAGATAAGGTTAGCTTGAAGCCACGGGGGACTTGGAGATATGGTTGGCTTGGAGCCACAGGGGACTTGGAAGAAGTGTCGAACACAAGGTTACCGAAACCCTAGCGCGGTTGGTCAGTTGTCAGCTAACTCCAGCTCAGCTCAATACATCTCTCATTCAACATACCAAAATGTACAAACATATATGATACATAGGTTGCACTTTACATAATAAGATATCTTGCAATTGTGCAACTTCGGCTCCCTCGTGTAATAAACATCTGTATGGTTTAACATGACTTGAAATTATAATATTATAAATAGACCTTTCAACAGCATTATCCATCATTGGATACTAGAAACCTTAAGAATAATATGCATCATAATAGAATATATCTCACATGTGGTATTGTATATCTCATATATTTATATATATTTTATGTTATAATCTCATGATGGTACCATCTCTAGAGTATTGGAAATGAGTTGCTGATATCATGCTACTTTTCTCACACACCATATGCCAATAATAGTAGCATAACATTCCACGCAAACCTTGATTCGGCATTTTTTTTTGCAACACAACCCTGCAATATCATGCCATTGTTAAGCGTGAACTCTGTTTGTACTGCACTTCTATTGTAGTGAGCCCTGTCGCCTCGGCCAAAATATCGTGGCGGGCTACATTGATTCTTGTAATACAACGCGTTTCAGAAAGGGAGGAGGAGGGGGGAGGGGAGGAGGGGTGATTTGTGCATGATTCCCTTGCAACGCCGTCACTCACACCTGGCTGATCGTTCTCCGCCAGGTGGCCACACTTGGCCGATTCACTTGGTGCCTCGCTGCCTCCAGCACTAAGAGCATTGCACAACTTCATTGGCACTTCACTAAATTCGCTACACACATGTCTCCTGCACATAGTGTGACCGTTCAGCTAAGATTTTGAAAGTAACTTCAATTGTTCTGAGGAGAGGGGGGGGGGGGGGGGGTCTCAAATTATACATATATTTGTATGTAGAAGTTATAAGCTAGATAGGTGAGTGTTCTTAGAGGGTACAATTCCAACCCTATATCTCCCTTGTTCTCTCTTATTTCTAGTCATTCTGCTATTCTAACATGGTATCATAGTAGGTTAGGTCCGCCCACCCGCTTCCGCCCCTCGCCCTAGCCTACCGCCCCGTCGTACCCTAGCCTTACCGCGCCCCGCTAGCCCCTAGCGCCCCGCCGGCCCCTGGCGCCCCACCGGCCCCCAGTGTGCCCCGCCGGCCCCTAGCGCACCTCACCGGCCCCTAGCGCCCCGCCGGCCCCTCGCGCACCCCGCCGGCCTCTAGCGTGCCCGCTAGCTCCTAGCGCACCCCACCGGCCCCTAGCGCGCCGCGCCGGCCCCTCGCGTACCCGCCGGTCCCTAGCGTGCCTTGCCGGCCCCTCGCGCCCCCGCCTGCCCCTTGCGTGCCCGCCTGCTCCCGCGCACACCATGCCGGCCCCTCGCGTGCTCGCCGGCCCCTCGCGCACCTGCCCGGCCCCTCGCGCCCCTCGCCGGCCCTTCGCGCACGCCGGCCCCTCGCCTGCTCGGCCTTCCCTCCCTTGACTGCTCGCCTGCGCCTTCCCCGGCCCCTCCTCCTCTTCCTGTCTACGGCCCTGTGTTCCCTCCGCCGGACTCGTCACCGGCTCATCTTCCCCCTCGTTCCCCTCTTGTGTCTCCTCCTCTCTCTCCTGACCAGACGCCTCCGTCTCACGTCTGGTCTCGCCGTCCCTCCCGTGCTTGCCCTTTCTCTCCTGTTCAACATTCTCACCCTATGTTGCTTCGTTTCCATGCGTCTCGTCCTCCTCTCTTGCCTTTGCATCCTCCGTCGTCGCTTGTTGTCGCGCCTCCCCCTCTATCTGACTACCTTCGTGCCGCTCGTCCTCTTGTTTCTCGGGTCCTTGCCTCCCTTGTTACTGACCCGTCTATTCCTGTCTCGAGTCTTGACGCTCTTGTCGCTGCTGTCGCTAACTTTGCCTCCACCCGCCGCCTTGACTATGCGACAGCTTTGGTCTCTAACCCTGTCTGTTCTCCGTCCGTCGGAGGTGCTCCTGCCCTTGGCACCAACGTTCTAGAGGAGATGCAGTACGAGCTTGCTTTCCTGTCTAAGGCTGCTCCCCATTTCTGTTCCATGCTGCTAGTCCCTGAGGGTGACCCAGATGCCTTTGACATCCTGACCCCTCGCACTTACGCTGAGGCGACCTCGGGACCCTGGGCCTCTCAATGGATAGCTACCGTGGAACAGGAGATGGCATCTTGGAGATCCACTGGCACGTAGGTCGACGCAGTTCCCCCACCTGGGGTGAACGTAGTCGATGGTCGGTGGCTCTTCACGGTGAAGCGCCCCCTTCGATAGTCGCATGTGTTCAAGGCGCGCCACGTGGCTAGAGGCTTTAGTCAGCGCGAGGGGATGGACTTCTTTCAAACCTTTGCCCCGACCCCAAAGATGACTAATCTTCGGGTGCTGCTACACGTAGCAGCACAGCATGACTACGAAGTCCACTCGCTCGACTTCTCCATTGCTTTTCTTCAGGGCAGCCTACACGAGCAAGTCTATCTGCGTCGGCCACTGGGCTTCACCGTTGCTTTTCCTCCTGGGACCTAGTGGCTCCTCCGGCGCCCGGTCTACGGCCTGCGACAGGCGCCCCATGAGTGGCATGACACGCTGCGTGCTACGCTAGTTGACCTGCAGTTCTTTCCGTCCTCTGCAGACCCCTCGCCCTTCGTTAGTGCTTGCCAGACTACGTTCTACATCCTTGCCTACGTACACGACCTGGTCTTCGCTATTGCAAACAGAGACGCACTGACCTCCATGCAGGCTGAGCTGATGAGGAGACACACCTACACTGACCTAGGAGAGCTGCGCCACTACCTTGGCCTTCAGATCTCCAGGGACAGAGCAGCGCACACCATCACTCTCACACAGTCCCTCTTGGTACGCCAGGTTCTTCAGAGGTTCGGCCTTCAGTTCTCCTCCGCACAGCCCACACCTCTGCCAGTAGACCACAAGCTCTAAGCTCCAGTTCTAGAGGAGTCAGTAGAGCCCGATGGTCCTTACGCAGAGCTGGTGGGTTGCCTCATGTACCTGATGACTTGCACTCGTCCAGATCTCGCATACCCTCTCAGCATCCTGGCTCGCTTTGTGGCCACATGCAGACACCGACCATAGCACTGGTCGGCCGCTAAGAGGGTTTTGCGTTATCTAGCAAGTACATCGGGCATGAGGCTAGTGCTGGGAGGACGCATGCCAGTGGTCCTTACTGGGCACACAGACGCTTCTTGGGTAGACGACGCTGAGACCCTCAGGTCCTCCCAGGGCTACTGCTTTAGCCTTGGTTTGGGTGCCATCTCGTCGAGGTCCACTCGCTCCTCGTCTGTTGCACAGTCTAGCTGCGAGGCTGAGATCTACGCCGGTGCCATGGCAGCACAGGAGCTCCGCTGGCTGACCTTCTTGCTCACCGACTTAGGTGAGCGGCCTAGCTCTGCCCTGGTTTCGTACGCTGACAACATGGCCATGATCCTCCTATGTTAGGAGCCTCGACTGGAGGGCAGAGCGAAGCACATCCAGCTGCGGTACTTCCTTCTGCTCGAGCTACAGCCGCGTTGTCAGGCCCGCGTAGTACACTTGGCCTTCGGTGCCAACACAACTGATATCTTTACAAAGGCGCTTGCGCCTAAAGATCATCAGCGGCACTGTTTGCAGCTTGGTCTAGTTCTTGTAGCTACTCACTTGCTAGGACCTTGATTGATTACTCCTCTTTATATATATACATTTATGACTGGCCTTGTGGCTTCACCTCCAGTGGAAAGACTAGTAGTGCCGCCATGGTTTGCTCTTTTCCTGTTTGTACTGTTGCTGACTGGTCTTCGGACCCCTGCCTCAGAGGTTGGACTAGTAGTGCCACCCTAAGTTGCGTGTTTCTTGCTCTGCACTGCCCCTTATCTAGCCTAGGGGGTGTGTCAACTTATACATATATTTGTATGTAGAAGTTATAGGCTAGATAGGTGAGTGTTCTTAGAGGGTACAACTCGAACCCTATATCTCCCTTATTCTCTCTTGTTTTTAGTCATTCTGCTATTCTACAGGGGGGGGGGGGAGGAGGAAGGAACACGCAAAAAAACCTAGGCTAACAGAATGGGAGACCCAGAGCAATCAGGGTACCTCAGAATCAAAACAAGGCCATTCATGACTGTCTATTTACACCACTTAGGTCACGGGAGCAACCCCCTTGCAGCACGTGCCACTACTACTTCACTTAGTGTAGTGTCGTTACGTCATTCACTTCTAGCCTACTCACTCCAGTCACTATAGAACCATGCCATGCTTTTATTAATATAATGAGAGTGATCACAAGCTTACGCTACTGAAGCTCTGCCTTCTAATACATAGCACTGCTTTTCCAACATCATGCATTTGTATCCAAGGTACGACCCTGTGCTCATCAATAGGGTATATCCCACTTCGCATTACATTGCATCCTGATGTCTACAAACATGGGGAATGATTCTGACATTAGTTATCTGACTTCCAGTGCTGTGTGGGGATGTAACTATTTAAATGCTCAGAAAGGAAGCATAGAGTGAAACGTCACACATAGCCCCCATGATATAGTAATATACAAAGTGTTTGGACTTCAAACCCATTTATCACCATGACAAGATGCCGTCACTCTTAGCGAGCCCCCACCAACCACTTTTAAATGATGCCAACAACCTGGTCGAGCTTATCACCAGCCGTACGTTTCTGCTAAGTACGACACTTACCGTGGTTCGGCAAATCCCGGGCCCCTTACAAAAGCCTGCACTGAGTCGTCACAGACAGCAGCCATTCGTTCACCACCGCACTTACCAAAGCACCACTGATTCTGCCTGCCCCCTATATCGATTCCCTCGATTCCATCTCCCCCGCCTTCCTCCTCCCTTGTTGACTGTTGCCGCCAAAAAGTGTCCACTGCAGCACTGGCATGAGGCCTCCTCTCCTCTCCTCTTCCCTGGCCACCCATCCACCAGCTTTCCTTAGCTCCAGTCTCTAGGCTCGCGCCAGACTCAGTTCCTGCTAGGGTTGGATTGGACTTCATTGGACAACTCGTAGCCTAGTTCCTGCTAAGGTTTTCTGTAGCAGCCACAGTGTGCCAACTTCCTGCATTTCGGCGAGATCGTGGCCGCATTCCGCGTTGTTCACGACTGGATGACGCCTGTGGTGATAGGTTACGGTTTTCGTGACTAAATCTGCTCATGCCTCCACGCTACGTGGCGATGGTTTCTGACTAAGCGTGGGCTTTTAGCTAAGAGCCGGTGGAAATGGAGCGGGGTCCCGCCCCGCAGCGTCGGGCGCGGGAGGGCTCCACACGAACGGTCCCGTTAAAAGACGCATCCGACGATCGCCCGGTCGTTCGCAAAAAAGCGCCGGGCGATCGCACAACGGTAACGAAGCTTCGCGGCGATGGCCCGAGCAAGGGCGGCCAGGAGAAGCAGTTCAGTCGCATCAACTCCATGATCCACCGTCCATCGCAGTCTAAGATGAACGACGACGATGACATGGAGCCCGCCGCCGCCCCGCGGTTCAACCGAACGCTCTCCATGGTCGGCAAGACCCCGGGAAAGCAGCAAAATGTCCGTGCCGCGCAGCCACGTCAGCAGAGAGCGCCGCCGCAACAGGCGCATCCCGACGATGACGAGGATCCGACCGAATCGGATCTCGGGCGGTCGATGACGATGGGGAGTAAGCCGCGGGGGAGACCCGCGGCGGGTTTTCCGCAGCAAGGGGGGGAGAGGGGGGGAATGGGCGGGGGAGGGGGAGGCGGAGGCGGAGGCGGAGGCGGAGGGGGGGGAGATGGAAGCGGGGAGGAGCAGCTGGGGCGGTCGCTGACGCAAGTTGATGCGCGGAGACGAGCAGGCGGCGGACGCGGGGGAGGCGCGGGCAGAAGCGGAAGCCCCGCGCAGGGCGGATTGCGCAAGTCCGCTGCGCCAGGAGGAGGCGCAAGCCGGTCGCGGTCCCCCATGGGCGCGGGCGCGGACGATTCGATGAGCATGCAGGGAATGCAGCAGGCCCTGCCGCAACAGCCGCTGCTGAAGTCCGCGCTCAAGCGCAGCAGCGCCGCGCAAACGCCCTCGGGCTACGGCGCCGGCGGCGGGTTCGGCGGCGACGATGGCGGCGGCGGCTATGGCGGTGGACAGATGATGGGCGGAGCGGGAGGGGGAAGGGGGAGTCGAGCGGGGAGCGCAGCCCAGACGCCGCAAGGGGGGTACGATCGGTCGGGGAGCCCGTTCCGCGCAGGCGGAGGGCAGTACCCGGGGGGGGATGGTAATATGTACTCCCCCCAAGGCGGAAGGGGGTACGGCGGGGGGGAAGGCGAGGGGTATCAAGACGGGATGTACGGCCAGGATCAGCCGCAGCATTACGGGCAGGATCAGCAGTTCCAGCCCACGCCACGTCAGCAGCAGCAGCAGTGGTCGGGCGGGCAGGGGGGCGCCAATGCTGGGCGGATGATGGGGGGAGGGGGAAGCGGGGCGGGGCGGAAAATGGGGGGAGGGGGGCAGCAGCAGCAGCAGCAGATGATGCAGCAGCAGGGGGGGCAGCAGGGAGGGGAGGACGAGTACTATGGGGCGGGCGCGGGGAACATGTCGGATGCGTCGGATACCAACTTCACGCGGCGGCTGCAGCACATGCAGGCGCAGCAGCAGCAGGACGAGGCGGCGGCGCTGCCCATGCTGCCGCCACCGAGCGCGCCTCAAGTGGTGCAGGTATGGTGCTATGTGTGAACATGCTCCTCAAAAGGTATGTATGTGCCCGCTGCAGCACATGCAGGCGCAGCAGCAGCAGGACGAGGCGGCCGCGTTGCCCATGCTGCCCCCGCCCAGCGCGCCGCAAGTGGTGCAGGTATGGCGAGTGGTGCAAGTATGTGGGGCTCTTTGCCGTTTGTTGGGGGGAGGGCGCTCAGAATCGAGGATGCCTCACGTGTCTCTCCTTCACCCCATTTCTCCCTCTCTTCCCCTCCCCTCCCCCCACCCGCCCATGCAGTGCCAGCGCTGCTCCCAGCTACTAGTAAGTGCCTGTGCTGCTGCCCCCCTGCAGCAGCGGCCCCCCTCGCCAAGAGGGGCGAGGCTGCGATGCACCGAGTGTCTCCGAGTCTCTTTCAGTTACTTCTCCTCTCCTTCCTGCCCCGCCCCCTCTCCCCCCACGCAGTGCCAGCGCTGCTCCCAGCTCCTAGAGGTGCCGCTTCAACTGCCCCCCGCCAAGAAGCTGCGCTGCGGCAAGTGCCTGCAGGTCTCGCGCTTTCAGTTTCTTCTCCTCTCCCCCCTCCCCCTCTCCCCCCAACGCAGTGTCAGCGCTGCTCCCAGCTCCTAGAAGTCCCTCTGCAGTTACCGCCCGCCAAGAAAGGCGTTCAGAAGCTGCGCTGCGGCAAGTGCCTCCGGGTCTCGCGCTTCCAGGTCAACCCGGCCGACCCCCGCTTCGCCAACCAGCTGCCGCCAAGTCAGCAGCCGCCGCCGCCAGCTCAGCACCCTGGCCAGCAGCTGCAGGGCGGTGGGGGGAGCGGGCGCTTCCCCTCCCCCTCTCCCCTGCAGCCGCAGCAGCGGGGGGTGGGCGGGACTGGATATGACAGTGATGGCAATGCTAGCATGAGCGGGGGGGGAGGCGGGGGAGGCGCAGGGGGAGGGGGAGGGTTCCGCCCAGGTATGGGGCCAGGCGGAGGGGGAGCCCCCCCCGCCCCCCACCACATGCGCTCACTTTCTAGGGAGTCTGATGATAGTCATTATGTGGCGGAAGGGGGAGGGGGAGGGGGGATGGGGAGCGGAATGGGTGGGCAAGGGGGAGGGCCAGCAGGGGGAAGAGGGCCAGGGGGAAGGGGGAGAGGGGGGGGGAGGATGGGGGCGGGGAGGGGCGGAGGGGTGGTGATGGGGAGGAGGGGGCCGGGGGGAATGAACAGGCAGGGGGGAGGGGAAGGAGGGGAGATGGCTACCCCGTCTTATGGCCACAACCAGCAGCAGCAGGGGATGGGCGGAAACATGGGGGGAAACATGGGCGGAGGCATGGGGGGGAACATGGGCGGGGGGATGGGCGGAGGGATGGGCGGAGGCATGGGGGAGGAGGATGGGATGACGTACAGCCGGCAGGTGGTGGTGAATGGGCAGGCGCTGCCGGACGAATACGTGGCGATTGCAGAGCAGAGGGCGGGGCCTATCCACCCGGGCAACTACTGGTGAGAGCAAGAGCACCAATGTGTGGATGTCCCTTAGCAGAACGGCAGATTGACACATGGTACATGGCACATGGTACATGGTACATGGCACATGGTACATGGCACATGGTACATGGTACATGGCACATGGTACATGGCACATGGTACATGGCACATGGTACATGGCACATGGCACATGGTACATGGCACATGGTACATGGCACATGGTACATGGTACATGGCACATGGTACATGGCACATGGTACATGGCACATGGTACATGGCACATGGTACATGGTACATGGTACATGGCACATGGTACATGGCACATGGTACATGGCACATGGTACATGGCACATGGTACATGGCACATGGTACATGGTACATGGTACATGGCACATGGTACATGGCATGGTCTACAGGCAGGTGGTGGTGAATGGCCAGGCACTGCCGGATGAATATGTGGCGATTGCAGAGCAGAGGGTGGGGCCGATTCACCCCGGCAACTACTGGTGAGTAGTTGGTATATGGTACATGGCTCATGGCACAATGGTACAATTGGACACATGGCAAAAAGCCGGCCGGCCGAATACTTGGCGATTGCAGAGCAGAGGGCTGGGCCCGTTCATGGGGGCAACTGCTGGTGAGTGAATGATGGATGGTAGATCGGAGTTGGGGGCATGAATTTTGGAACATTCAACTTGCATTGTGGAACATGGAAGATGCGACATGGATGGATTAAGCGCTGATGGGGTAGCCCCGTACTCACCCGATCACAGTATTGTAACCCCCACTTGCATGGCAGGTATGATGACGTGGCAGGCTTCTGGGGTGAGCTGGGTGGGCCATGCCTCGGCATCATCCCGGTAAGTGCTGAGCTGGCATCCATATTGGTAGTTGCTTAGCTGGCATCATTCCAGTTTCCCATTCTCAAGACGGATTTATTACCTCTCCCATGCTAACCCCCTTTCCACCTTTCCCATTCTCACCCTCTTCCGTACTTCCTTCACCACTTCCCCTTCCCTCTTCCTTTCCGCCCCCTTCACCCCTTCCCTTCTCCGTTCCCCTGTCACCCCCACGTTCCCCTGTCAGCCTGCTATTGATTTTGGGGTGTCAATGCCGCAGTCATGTGGGGGCGGTGCAACCCGCGTGTACGTAAACAGGAGGGAGCTGCACCACAGGGACCTGGAGCGACCTTCCCATCCCATTCTCATCCCACCCCCCCCCACACACTACCACCCTCTTTTTGACCCCCGTTCCCCGTTCTCCCCCGCATGCCCCTGTCAGCCTGGCATCGACTTCGGGGTGCCCATGCCGCAGTCATGTGCCGGGGGCTCCACCCGCGTGTACGTGAACGGCAGGGAGCTGCACCACAGGGACCTGGAGCGGCTGATGAAGAGAGGGTTACCGGGTACACCGGACTGCGGTTACCGCATCGAGATCACGGGCAACGTGTTTGACGAGGAGACTGGGGAGTACCTGCTATGCCTGGGGAAACTCGCCCCCTCGTGAGTTGCCCGCCCCCTCATGAGTTGCCGGCCTGCCCTGACTCTGGTTCTCTCTGCTAGCTCTAGTCCTCGGTCTGGATTGGTTTATCCTGCTCTCGCCCCCTCGTGAGTTGCCTGCCTGCTCTGACTCTGGTTCTCTCTGCGAGCTCTAGTCCTCGGTCTCGATTGGTTTATCCTGCTCTCGCCCCCTCGTGAGTTGCCTGCCTGCTCTGACTCTGCTTCTCTCTGCGAGCTCTACTCATGCATGACTCTTGCTCAGGCCAGCAAACGATTTGCTCATGTTCATTCTCACCAGCATTCCCTCCTTGCGTCTCCCATACTTCTCCGTCCCGCTTTTTTTGCATTTGCCCCAGGCTTGAGAGCAGGAAGAGGGGTGGCGGCATGAAGATGCCAGAGAGAAGCTGAAAATGCGGAAGAAATGCCTTGGTTTGTGTATTGGTATATGTGCCAAAAGTTGGGACCTGGTATTTCGATAGCGTTGAAGGATTTCTTGTGGCATGCTGTGCTGCTAGGGAGGGTTTGTGGAGCAGGATAAGGTGTACGTAGGGATTTCCAAATTTACTGTACGCATGCAGGTGAAATCATGTTTGGCAATGAAAGGTTGTATGGTTTCCAGCATTTGCTGTTTGACGAGCTCATTCCTTGCTGTAGCCCATCGTTAGTATCACAGGGCGGTGGTGTCACTTCCCAGGTTCCAGGTTCATGCGACCCGGTTGTAGTTCTTGGATGACGACGGCCCCGCGCATTGGGAACAGCTCGAGCCGCTTGTCTTCCAACCAATCAGAGCCTTCAGCAGTGTTGTGGTGAGGGCCGAGCCAGAACGTCGTCTTTCGCGGTTTGGTTGTGAGTGGTGGCCGTCACTCTGGCTGGGTTCCAAACCTCGCATGACTCTCTGTGTTCCACAAACCCGAGGCCACAACCTGCTTCGAAAATGCCACAAAGCAGCGGAACTCTTGACCAAGTTGATAGGCTCGGCACGATCACCTGGTCGGCATTTCCGAGACATCCGATGGAGGGACGCCCGCTGACTGGCTGTTGATCCAACAAGGCTAGGGGTGTTCCAGCTTCGGCCGACCGAACCAGTCTGCCTCAGCAAGCAGGCAGCTCTACTTTGCCCCGCTTTGACGGTGCTGCACGCATTTGTCGGTTTTGTACTTTATCCCAGACCAAATCCCCCAGCCTCACCCATGAGCCTCTATGGTGCCCCGGCATAACCATTTGTTTGAGCCTCGTACAGCTTGTCACATGCTCGTGCCTGAAAAAATTCTGACCCGAGCCTGGGGCTCAGCTGCGGAACGTCATCCTGAATGCTCGGAGGCACCGAACCTCGAAGAAATCGGTGTGAAGCACCAAGCTGCGGCGAGCACGAAGGAAAAGCAGCCTTTCTTTGCCCAGTTCGGCACACCACCGAACCAGGCTCCCCATCCGCACCTCTTCTCATTTCTCTCCCCCTCCCCCCTTCCCTCCCTTCCCTTCCGACCGAACTCCTGGCAAAGAAACCCTGAAGCACCAAACCATAGCAGTGTCTCTCCTACATCTGCTGGGCTAGCTACAGTGTCCTATCTTTGCATCTTTGCTTACAGTGTCAGGGAGGGGAGCTGTGCTTGCTGTCCCGTCAATCGCGCCTGCAGGGTGCTCTTAGATGAGGTCTGCGTCTGTAAGGGGCTTGGTGCTAGGCAAATTGAAAGTACGCGACTGCATTTCGGCGTTCTTAGTCGATCAGTAACAACTCACTGTTAGATCTTTTAGGGTTCTTTTGCTGGTAACAAGGTGCGCGGGGCGTTAGTGCGACCTTGTCGTATGATGAGATTAGAGTAGCTAATTACTTTAATTAGTCAGTGGCGCTACACCTCACACGATCCATCGATTAATCTTCACCGTCATTGGCCATGCATCATCTCGAGCAGGCGCTAACACGTAAGAAAAGCAGCGGTAGCTGGCTATCGCTCCTTAAAGACGGTCGCAAGGGAGGTAATTCCAAGTCCACGTCAGCAGCAGCAGCCGAACCCTCCCCCGCTACAACCGAAACCCACCATGCCGTTCCAGCAGGAGAGGAGATCCCAGAGGAGGCTCGGAACAAGCCTAGCCGAACAACCAGCGGAGGCTCGTTATTGGACTGGAAAGGGAAGGCGAAGAAGGAAATGCCTAGGAGCTATGGTTTGGGGAAGAGCGATTCGGCTGGTCCTGCAGTAACTATCGAGGTTACTACGACCAGGGCCGATGACGACTCCCTTCCTCTTTCCTCTCCTTCCTCCACTGCTGTCTCCTCCTTCCCTTCCTCCTCCACCTCTGTCTCCTCCTTCCCTTCCTCCTCCTCCCTATCCTCCTCCTCTCGTTCCACCTCTGCTCGCTCCTCTATGGACCGTTCCGTTAACGGCAGCCCCGCTATAGACCGCTCCGTTAGAGACGACGATACGCCTCTCGCTCTGCAAACGGCTGACTCGCTGCGCATCCACAGAAAGGCCAAGGAAGCTTCTTCGAAGCAGCTCGACGGCATCTCGTTAGTCCCGCAGCTGAAGCTTCGGATAGAGCCGCCAGTGCCGGGCCTCGAAGGGTCTGACCGAACCTCGGGCGCGAGCAGCCGAACCTGCAGCAGCGGAAGCGAGGGTGGGAGCACGACCGCCAGCAGCGGCCGGCACGGGACGAATGTCGCAACAAGCGCGAGCGGCACCAGCAGCAGCAGCAGGAGCAGCACCGGCGGTGGCAACCGAGACAGGGAGAGACACAGGGAGGGAGACAGGCCGCTAAGGGTGGTGTCGCTGCTGGGTGCGGCGACGGAGGTGGTGGCGACGCTGGGGCTGCAGCATCTGCTGGTGGGGCGGTCGCACGAGTGCAAGTTCCCGCCGTCCGTGCTGGCTCTGCCGTGCGTCACGGCGCCCGCCCTGGGTCCGGAACAGGTGCTGCAGAGCTGCGGCACGGGGCATGACAGGGTGAGTGGGAGAGAGCGCCAGTGTCACGGTGAGCAATAGACGATTCCCCCCCCCCCCCTCCTCCCTCTCCCCCCCGTTCCTCCTCCCCCCTTTCCCCCCACACCCCCCGCCATTCCCCCCTTCCCCGGCATGTCACCCTCCTCTCATTCCCTTCCCTCACTCCCGCCTTCTCTCCCACCGCAGCTTTCGGAGCGCGTGCGCAAGGGTCTGTCGCGGTACCACGTGGACGTGGAGGCAATAAAGCGGCTGCAGCCGGATGTGATTATAACGCAGGACGCGTGCGACGTGTGCCTCGTGACTCTATCGGACCTCGAAGCCGCCTGCAACGACTACTTCCGCCAGCGGGACGACGCGGGGAGCGCGTGCCACGTGGTCTCGCTCAAGCCAATCACAGTCTCGGACGTGTGGGATAACATGGTGCAGATAGCCGCGGCGGTCGGGCACAGGGAGAAGGGGTGCGTGCTCGTGCAAACACTCAAGGCGCGCTGGTCGCTCGTGCGCCGGCAGGTTCCGCTCCGTGGGTCCGCACCCCGCCTGCGCGTGGTGTGCCTGCAGTGGCTGCACCCGCTCATGGGCGCGGGGTTCTGGGTTCCGGAGATCGTCGCGTGCGCGGGGGGGAAGAGCCTTTCCGGGAAGGTGAGATATGCATGATGTGAGGTGGGCGGGGAATGGAATGCGAGCGAGCGTGGGCTATAGAGTTATAGGATGAATGGGGTGACTGAGTGAAGGGGAAGGTGGGAAGGGGAAATGGAGGTTGCACGGACACGTTGGTAGGGGGGTAAATTTGTGATCGGGTTTATTCTTCCCCCTTGGGGGCCCCCCTTTCAATCACCCACCCATCCCTGTGTGCCCGCCTTCCCCCCCTCCAGCCTGGGGAACGCACGGCCATGCTATCTTTGGAAACCTTGCTATCTTTGGACCCTGACGTCATCATCGCCATGTGCTGCGGGCTGTCTATGGAAGCGGTTTTAAGAAAGTTTCTTAACTCGGATGATCTACCCCAGTGGAACCGGCTAAGAGCCGTGCAGACGGACGCCGTCTTCGTGGCTGACGGCGACCGTTACTTTAACAACTCCGGGCCGACTATAGTGGAATCGGCGGAAATAATGGTGGAGATTCTCCACGCGCGCCGGTTCCCACACCACAGAACCGCATCAAACCGCGCTGTTGCCGCTGGCTCTGCTGACGGTGGTGCTGCTGACGCCTCCCCTTCGTCCAACCGCCTGTTAGGCCGGGGACACGTGGCAGCAGGCGCGGATTTCCCGGAGATCGAGATTAAGTACGAGGGGAGGGCGTACGCGCAGTTAACGGGTGGGTGCGTGGGCGCGTGGCGCGCGCTGCTGGGGGACGGCGGAGGGGCTGACCGCGCGGGGGGGGACTGGGGGAAGCTGGACGCGGGGAAGGGGGCGGATGGGAGAAGTGCTAGCGGCGGGGAAGCGGGGGGAGGGAGCGGGGGGAGGGTGAGGGGTGGTTCGCGCAATTGGCGTCGGAAGCAGCGGCCAAGGGAGCGAGGGAGGCCGCTAGGGAGGCTGCATTGGTGGCGAAAGCGGCAGGGAAGCAGCAGTTGGGGCAGGAGCAGCAGAGTAACAAGGCGGAGATTGGGGGCAACGAGGCAATTGCCCCCCTTCGCCCTCCTCCTGGGTACACGGGGAATGTTACAAGTAAAAGCAGCACCAGCGCCACTGCCGCCGCTGCTGCTACCTCCCCTGCTAGCCAAACGGGCAGCATGAGTGAGTCGTCCGCCACTTCTGCCCCCAAGCCCTTGGCCCCCCTGCCGTCTCCGCCCGGGCGCAGCTCCAGGCGGCAGCTGTGGGGGCTGAAGAGGGGGACGGAGCGGAAGGAAGGCGCGGATGCGGAGGCGAAGGGGGAGGAGGAGGAGATGGTTGAGCAGCAGAGAATGAGAGAGGAGGAAGAGAGGGTAGAGCGGGAAAAGAGTGAGCAGGATCGGATACAGCAGCAGTTTCTGACACAGTTAAAGCTCGAGGAGGGGTTGCAACTGCTGGCTACGCAACCGGGGGCGGCACAACTGCCGCCGGAGCAGCAGCAGCAGCAGCAGCAGCAGCTCGGGGAGGCGGAGGAGGAGCAGGAAACACTACCCACCTCGCCGTCCGCCTCTCCCCCTCCCCCCGCCATCTCCCTGTCAGGCGCGGCGCTCAAAGCCGCGCAGCTCCGCGCGCTCTTCCTCGCAACCATAGAGGAGTCCCTCCCCGCGGATTGCCTCCTCCTGTCGGGCGGCCTCGCGTCCACCATAATCGCGCACGCCGCCACGTCTTTAATCTGGCCGGGGAGCATCGGCGCCGCGATTACGGTTCTCGCGAGTCCTAGAGCAGCGGATAGGGCGCCTGCGGCGGCGGCTGCGCGCGGGTGCCAGCTGGGCGGGGGGATGGGCGGAGGGGGGAGCGGCGGGCACGTGTTTGTGGGGGGCGGGCCGGGGTTTCAGCCGGAGCATCTGCTGGAGACGGAGCTGCGGTTTGTGGTGCGCGTATTGAAGAGCTTCGATCCCGCTGAGGTGAGACAGCGCTTGTTTTAGGCGCCTCAAAACAGGGCTTTCCACAGGCGCGGCATAGGTGCCTGGCATGTCGGGGATAGTCTACACCCCTCTTTCAAGGGGACAAGGGCGCAGTAGCATTCAAGTCAAGTCTAATACCTCTCTTTTCCCTCTCCAATCCACCCTCGTCCCTCCCTCGTCCCTCCCTTCCTCTCTCCCCTTCTTCCCCTTCCCTCCCCACTGCAGATCCGCATGGGCGTGGTGCTGGCGGCGGGGTCGAGGGAGGCGAATCGTCAAGTCTACCCGCACTTCCCCACTCCAATCCTCCCTCCTCCCGCTTTCCACTCCGTTCCCGTGTCTTCCCCTTCCCTCCCCACTGCAGATCCGCATGGGCGTGGTGCTGGCGGCGGGGCTGAGGGAGGCCAAGCGGCAGGGCTTCTGCTCGGTGATGGTGGGCGATGGCGCGGACGAGCTGTTCACCGCGTGAGTGCCTTGGGGGGGGGAGGGGGGCGAGACAGGGCAGGGAAAGGGTAGGGAAGGGAAAGGAGCAGCGCAGAGTGGCAGGGCTTCTGCTTGGTAATGGTGGGGGATGGCGCGGACGAGCTGTTCACCGCGTGAGTGCTGGGGTTGGGGGGGAATGGGAAGGTATGGGGAGGGAACCAGTCATTGCACGTGTCCCCATGAACTTACTGCTGTTGCTTGTGTCTGCTGCTCTCCCTGCGTGGCTCCAACCTATGAGCGACGCCAAGCTGCAGGAGTGTCGCCAGCACATGGTGGACGTCCTTTGACCCTCTTGCCTCAAATTCCTCTCTATGCCGTCCCTTCCCCTGCCTCTCTGTCCTTACCCTGCCTCTCTGTCCTTCCCCTGCCTCTCTGTCCTTCCCCTGCCTCTCTGTCCTTCCCCTGCCCCTGCTTGCATGTCTCCCCCCCTCGCAGTTTCGACTTCATGGTGCGGATGAGCGACGCCAAGCTGCAGGAGTGCCGCCAGCACATGGTGGACGTGCTGCGCTTCCCCTGCAGGGACCTGGCGCAGGCGCTGGGCCTGGAGGTGCGGCAGCCGTTCCTGCACCCGGCCCTGCAGGAGTTCGCTCTGGGCCTCACCAAGGACGAGCTCCTAGGGGAGGGGCGCAGCGAGGAGTGGTGTGACTACAACGAGGGAAATTTGCTGCTGAGAATGGCGTTCCCTGAAGTGGTCTCGGCCCGCCGGCCCAAGGATCCCATTGAGGTGGGTGGGTGGTGTGTGTGGAATTACTTTTGAATCGACTCAAAAGTCGGCTCGCCGTCCCAAGCATCCCATTGAGGTGGGTGGGTGGGTGGTGTGTGCGGAATGACTTTAAGTCGACTCAAAAGTCGGCTCGCCTGCCGAGGACCCCATTGAGGTGCGTGGGTGGGTGGGTGGGTGGGTGGGGGGTGGTGTGTGTGGAATGACTTTGAGTCGACTCAAAAGTCGGCTCGCCTGCCGAAGGACCCCATTGAGGTGGGTGGGTGGGGGGGTGGGGTCTAGGTTTTGGCCGCTCAGAATCTGCCCTCCCCTGCTCTGGCTTCTTGCCTCACATCAGGTAGGAGCATGAGAGTAAGCCATGAGGAACGGTGGCCCTGACATGGCGCTTCTAACAGAGGATGGGGCGGGAGGAGTCGCTGGTTGGCGGAGAGGCAGAGGGTGATCTGAGAGAGTCACCTCAGAAGTTTCTCCTCTCTTTCCCTTCCGTTGCTCCTGTTGTGGCAGGTGGGGGCGGGCACGGTGGCTTTGACGAGGCACTTTGCGCGGAGGATGGGCCGGGAGGAGTTTCAGGCGGAGAGGCAGAGGGTGAAGCGGGAGGATCAGGTTCGGATCAGGGACCCTGAGCACCTGCACTACTACCGAGCCTTCCGCCAGGTACGGCACCCTCCCAAACCTTCAGTGCTTCCGAGCCTGCTGACAGGCGCGGCTGCAGCTTTGCTACCATCCCTATATGCAGGTATGGCACGCGCACTGCCTGTTTGCTTCGGCTTGGCTGCTTCTCTGCAACGTGGTTCTCCTCACTCTAACGCCCCTGTGCTGCCAACGTTGTTGCCTTTGCCGCCGTTGCGGCTGCGGCTGCTGCTGTTGCTGGCGCTGTCTTGCAGGGTTCCATCTCCTCTTTGCTTCCCTGTCACCATTCTTATCACAACCACCACAGGTGTTTGGAGGTCCGCTTCTTCCAGGGGTGCAGCGCTGGCAGCCCAACGCGTGCTCGGCCTGCGGCTTCCCGCCTCTCTTCCCCGACCAGCTTCTCTGCGCCACCTGTGGGGAGTGCTCCACGCGCAAACCCTCCCGCCGCCGCTCCAATTCGGGGGGTACCAACAATGCTGTGGGCGCTGGTGCTGCTGGTGCTGCTGGGGAGGTTGGGTCAGGTGGAGACGGGCTCGGAGGGGTTGGAGTGGGCGGAATGGAAGGGCCTCATGTGAGGGTGCAGCTTGGTGGAATCAGCAGCAGCGCTGGCGGGCGGCCGAGGCTGTCAGACGTGCCTCGCAGCCCCCGCCGCCCGTCCACTCCCCCTCGAGGCTCCTCATCCCCTTCCCCTGGCAGCAGCAGCAGCAGCAGCGGGAGGAAGCAGCGGGGTTGCTGGGGGAGTGCAGCGGGGGAAGGAGGGGCAGTGGGTGGGCGAGAGGCGTTTGGCGTATCAGAGAGGGACGGATGCATGATGCAAGGGGAGAGGGAGAGGTTTGGGGAGGGGGGGGAGTGGGGGGGAGAGCAGGTGGTGGTGGTGGAGGTGGCAGAGGAGGTGTGTGTGGCTATGTCGGTTGTGGACCAGGCGCTAGCTGGAGTGGCGTCTCCTGACAGGACTCTGGCTGCGAAACACACAGACGGAACCAGCAGCAGCAACTGCACCAGTGGCGGCAGCAGCAGCTGCAGCAGTGGCGGCGGCAGCAACAGCAGCAGCAGCAGTGGCGGCAACGGTGGCAGCAGCAGCAACTCCAGCAGCAATGCGCATCCCATGAGCAAGATCCACTCGCTGCTCTTCTCCACCTACTCTCATCCGCCCAATGCCCCCTCCCTCCACCACTCAGACTCGCTCCTGTCTCTTGTGGCGTGCGTGGATGGGGGGCTGAGCGTGTGGGGCGACATAATCGGCAGCAGCCAGTGCAGTGAAGAGCCGGAGGGTGACAGTGACGATAACGGGCGGGATAATAACGAGGAAAAGGAGCGATGCCGCAGTGAGGGCGGGGAGAGGAGAGGCAATAGGCGAGGGGGGAGGGGAAGGCGGGCAGGAGAACGAGGGGTGGTTACTGCAGGAGGGTCGATGGACGGTTCAGATCGCGAGGACGTGGATGCGATCACCGAAGGCACGGAGATGTGGAGTGTGACGGATGCGACAACGGATGTGGCGGGGTTCAGTGAGAGTGAGGAGTGGGGCGATGGAGAGGACAGGGACGGCGCGCATGAGGGGCTCAGCAGCAGCGGCAGCTTCTCCGACTGCGCCAGTAGCTTTTCGGGGAGGGATGGGGGGGCGGAGGCGCAAGGGGTGGGGATGGGGGGCGCAGGGGGAGGAGGGGAGAAGTATTTCGTGCTGGGTGGTGATGAGTGGGCTGATGGGGGCCAGGGGAGTGGGAGGTTTTTGACCAAGGGAGCAGAAGCGGCTCCTAAGTACAGGGTGAGTGAATTTGCTGCTCCGTCCCTCTGTTTTATCACGGTCTCACCCTCTGCTCTTCAGACTCAGCTTCCTTCTTGGTTTCATACGCATGTCTTGTTTCCTTGTGTCATTGCTTCCCTGCAGGTGCTTGTTGCGGAATCAGCAGCCAAGCCATCCTTCCAGCACCACCAGCTCTCCAATGCCTCGTCGAGGTTTTACTGACCATCAAAACAAGCTCACTCCCCTTTCAATTTACCAGCATGTAGTATGACCACTTGTCACACCATCGTATATCACCACTGTAGTAGTGCTGGCGTAGTGGCATCTAGAAAATATGGGTTTGAATGGCTACGTTAGTTGATTCATAGTGTATGGGTAATAAATTGCTAGGGTGGTGTGCATCTTATGTGACTGCGGTAAGTGACAGGATTGAGGAGTGCATCGCTGTCCGTGCTGTCTAAATGTTGTAGTGAAATCGGACGTTGCCAAATGTTTTGTGTGTGGGAAGTAGCGAATACGCTGCTCCATGGGCCTCACGATCAGAAAGTCATACACCCTAAATCTCGTTTGTCTCAAATCACGTAGCGTAAAAAAGCGGATACAATCATTGCCAAGATCGGCTTCTTATCACATTGTGAAATGGAATTTCACATTGCCCTGGACCAAATCTGGCTTAGTGTGGGAAAAACCACAGACCTCAACGGGTTGAGCTGCTGATTCCAGAAGCTCCTCGTCGCGTGAGCCCTCCATTCGGAACATTCTGTTTCATTCTTTCGAGAGTTGACGGTTTGCTACAGTTCGCGGGTCTTTCTGGCTGTTGCGATCCCCTTCACTGTTTTTTTTTTCCAATTATTCACTGCCCACTGGTTTCCCTCCACGCGGGTCCAAAAATAGTGTCACTCCAGACTACACCCTTAATGTTTCGGAGTACCTAGAAATACCCCTGACGGTCGGTTCCCCAGGCGGTCACGTACATTCACATTCCGAAAAAGAAAAACGCAGCCAGCCTGACATACACGCTTGATTCTAACGAGTTTTAGGGTGTACAGTTTTGAAGAGGTACATATTGTACATAAATATCTCTGACTCATTGTGGACGGCGGCAGTTGCAAATATTTCGAATCTTTCGCATCAGATTGCGTTGAATTGCTCTGTCAAGCCACGCCACCTTTGCCCTTGCCAGCAAAGACGGGGCCCACGTGAAAAAAACAGCAGACGCACGCGAGAATCCCGGCCAACCGCACCGTCAAGAAATTGCTTCGCGCGATTAGCTCGCAACATTCTGCCTAAACCGCCGCACCGCATCCTGTCTCCCATCCGCCGTATCGCATCCTTGATTCCACATGCAATTTCATTAGGCTGTCATCGCATCGCATCCTAGATCTCCCCCCTCCCATCCCATGTCATTTCTTCATCTCATCCCCATCCCATCTCATTTCATCCCATTTCATTCGTCCCATTTTCCTCGCATCCCTCCCATCCCATCCCATCCCATCTCATCTCATTTCATCTGCTCAGCTACTCTGTCTGCCCACACCCAATATTTGGTCCGCTACGTCCTGAGGTGATTTGGGAGAGAGGACCGCTTTGGGAGGGACGGGAGTTGGGAGTCGGGACCATTTTGGGAGGGGGGCTGCTGCCAAGAATGCCTGATGATGCATGCACGCAGAGCAGTTAGTCAGAGATTAGGTTAGGGGAGGTCTTGCTAGCGTCAGAAATTGCTGCGTGAAAGTATGGTTCCTTCGGCCGTTCTTCCTGGTTGGTTCAGCTGCTGCTGTCAAAGGCTTGCTCCTGGCAAACCCTTATATCCAGCTCTGGTTGCTAGAGCAACCTTCAGAAATGCAGGACGAGGTCGTATGGAGTAACCTGTCCCTCAATAGAGCAGTGTAAGAGCTTATGAAGTATTCCGGACGAACCCTGATTTTGGTACTGGTATCAGAATACGCTGGTCCGGTACACAGAAAAAAACACCCGTTTCTCTCCGTATTTCGCGACGAAATTGATTCGAGAAACGCCAACGCTTTTTCTTTTTCTTTCCGGATACGATGATCCTTATTGAAACTGGTGTTTACGATTTATTTTCTAGGAATAATTCACTCTAGCAATTCGGAGATACCGTGGCTACATCCTTCAGGATCGATCAATGTCGGCGGTTTCTTCGCTTCTACAGAATTCGCTGTTTCAAGCCGTTCCGGCTGCTCTGCTGACCGTCAGCGGCGACGCGAGGGAGAGCCGCATATTGCAATGCAGGTACTACCTCGGGAAGGTCCCCTAACATGCGAGAAGGGACCTGATGTAGGAGAAGGCCCCCTGGTGTAGGAGAAGGGCTCGGTGGACGAGTTAAGAAGTGCAATTGAGCTCACACGCCATGTTTATCCTGCTCCCGCTGAAGTCTCGTGGTTTCCCATCGCCGTCTTCGTTTCTCCTACGTGTTGTGTGACATTGTAGCGAGGCTAAGTCGACTCAAAAGCCTCCTGCTCCTGCTGAAGTCTCGTGGTTTATCATCGCCATCTTAAATTCTCCTGCGTGTTTCCCTTTCCGCGTGTCTCCCTGTCCGCGTGGTTCCGACCAGTTCCGCGCTGTTGGACCTGCTCGGCGCGCAGTGCGGACAGTCGCAGATCACGGGGAGGAGCTTCCTCTCCCTGGTCCACCCGGTGGATCGACCTTCCACTGAGGCAAGCACAGTCTCTCGCAGGGTCAACTTGGGATTCTCGTGGTCGATTTTGCTGGATTTCCAAAAGATCGACAGCTTTTGGGAAGAGCGACCTCTCCCTGGTCCACCCGGCGGATCGACCTTCCACTGAGGCAAGCACCATCTCTCGCAGGTCCGGATTCATCCGCTTAGAAGTCAACAGTGAGACTTCGTAGCTTGCCAACCCGCCGTTGTCCGGGCATTCTTCCCGTCGCACCCCCTCCTGTCGCACCCCCTCCTGTCGCACCCCCTCCTGTCGCACCCCCTCCTGTCGCACCCCCCCTGTCGCACCCCCTCCTGTCGCACCCCCTCCTGTCGCACCCCCTCCTGTCGCACCCCCTCCTGTCGCACCCCCTCCTGTCGCACCCCCCCTGTCTCACCCCCCCTGTTCCACCCCTCCTGTCACACCGACCCTTGCCCGCACAGGCTGTGCTCGATGGCTGTGCAGCCGCGGACGGCGGCCGGGCGAAGCGGCGGGTTGCGGTGAGGCTGGCAGCCCGAGGAGGGGAAGACGGAGGAGAGGGCAAGGGCGATGAGAGGGGGGGAGCAAGGGGAGAAAACCAGGGAGAGAGAAGAGGAGAGGAGCGAGAGGGGAGGGAAAGGGAGGAAGAGAAGGAAACTCTTCGCAGCAGCTGCAGTAGTGAGTGGCGATGGCTTGAGATGTCGGTCTTTCCTGCCACGTGTCCTCGTGAGGGCGATGTCACGTGTACAGCTTCGCCCCGAGCGCCTCCTGAAGAAGCAGCCCGGAAGGAGACGAGTGACAGAGGCTGCGAGCAGAGGATGGTTCTGTGCACTTTCCTCGACATCTCGGAGCGGATGAAGCAGGAGGTGAGGAAGCAGGAGGTGAGGGTGGGAGAGTAGTTTAGTTTTGAGTCGTCTCAAGACTAAACTACTAGCATGAGGAAGCCGGAGGTAGGGGGGGGAAGCAGGAGGTGAGAGGGGGAGGCAGGAGGTGAGGGGGCGGCAGGGTATTGAGGGACGACGAGAAAAGGCATGCTGTGGTCAGTCAGCGCGACGGTGACCTAAGGGGGTGGCGGCACAGCAGTCATGCAAAGGGGTAGAGGCGTAGCCATGAGAGGGGAAGAAAGTCACCTCTCTGTGCGCTCACTCTCCACATCTTGACCCACGCTCTCGTTTTTTTTTAGGCGCCTCAAAAATAGACCCTCGCTCTCCTCTCGCCCGCGCTTTTCCTCCACAGCCTCTCCTTCCATTTTCTATTGTGCTACGGTGGCAATGCTACGGTGGCAATGCTCAAAGCATCTCGTTCCCTTCACCCTCTCTTCACGCTCTCTTCCCTTTGCCACTGTGCTGTGATGCCAGGATCGCATGTTGAAGCGACTCAAGGCATCCGTTGGGCCAGACGTGGCACTGCAACACGACTTACCCTTTGATCCTAACCCCCATGGCCCGAACCACCATAGCCCGAACCACCATGGCCCGAACCACCATGGCCCGAACCAGCATGAAACTTGCGATGCAGTCACCGGCGCTGGGGTTGACCCTCTGACCTCGAGAGATCGGCACACAGGCAGTAATGGCACCAGTGGTGCTGACAGCAGGGGCGGTGGCGAAGGGGAGGCGGAGCGGTCTGAGGAGGGTGGTGGGAGGGGAGAGAAGTCAAGAGGGGTTGGAGAGGTCAGAGGGGTTGACGGAGCGACCGGGGGGAGCAGAGGGGATGCTGGTGCGAGGGGCGGGGATTACGGCATGGACACAGTGAGGCACGACGGCAGTATGGACGCGTTGCAGCATGACGGCAGCATGGATCCACTGCAGCAGATGGTGGCGGTGCTGCACGGCGTGAAGCAGACTCTCAAGTGGAGCATGGAGAGCGCCAAGTTCCACGCCATATTCGACATGTCCATGGTGAGATGCTCGCCCGTGGTGGTGGCATTGGCGTGTGCATGGTGAGATGGTGGCTTTGACATGTGCGTGGTGAGGTGGCGGCATTGACATGTGCATGGTGAGGTGGCGGCATGGACATGTGCATGGTGAGGTGGCGGCATTGACAAGTGCATGGTGAGGTGGGACTGCTGAGAGTCTGCCCTTGAGTCAACTCAAAGGCGAAGCTTCAATCCCTAAGCTTCATGCAATGAGTACCACTGTACGGTTATGCGACGAGTACCATGGTCATGCGACGAGTACCATGGTCATGCGATGAGTACCATGGTCATGCGACGAGTACCATGGTCATGCGATGAGTACCATGGTCATGCGATGAGTACCATGGTCATGCGATGAGTACCATGGTCATGCGATGAGTGAGTACCATGGTCATGCGATGAGTGAGTTCCATGGTATGGTATGTCTTGTCCCCCCATCAGAGGCCCATCTGTATGACCGACATCCATCACGCCCTGCTCGACTGCAGCCCCGCGCTGCAACCCTGCCGCACACACCCTTGGGCCTTCCTGACCAATCCGCCCTCACTCCTTCCCCGATTCCCCTTCCCAACGCCCCCCCTCCCCCCCCCCCTCTCTCCCCTCCCCCTCTCTCCCCTCCCCACAGGACCCCATTCTCATAAACTACATCAATCACGCCCCACATGATTGCAACCCCGCTGCCGCCCGGATCCTCGGATTCCCGTCCAGATCTGCCGCCCTGGCCAGCATGCACCGGGGCTTTCTGCTGCAACAGTCCCCCGAGGTGCAGCCATGCGGGCGGCGCAGCGCGGAGCTATTTGAGGAGATCGTTGGCGTGCTTGTGGAGCAAGGGGAGTGCGCGCCGTTCGAGTGGGTGCATACCAGACTGGACGGCACTGAGTTCCAAGTGCTCGTGAAGTCC